TCCTGTGGCAGAAACAAGCTTCCATGCTTTTGCAAATATAGCCTACTTTCTATTCATCAAAAAATCGTTAAAAATGGTTTCTGCAAAAATATGATGCTTCACAACTGTGTGGATTACTTTTATAACACTTGAAGTTTTAGAGCTGTCTTTTTTCACTGTATGGTCAAGATCAGCATGAACTTTCTGCTGGATATCTACTTTTCTGCTCCACACAATAAAGTCGCGGGCTTGGAACAACACGAGGGTGAGGAAATCTTTCATTTTTGGCTGAACTTTGACCTGAAGATGATTTTAAATCATCGGCAGTCATGAGGCAAAAATCAGAAGAAGAGTTCATCAGCGAGAGGACTTCAAAGCTGGTTTGGTGCCAAGCTATTAAATATAATGCATTCATATTAATTACATTTTTAATTAAGTTATTTATTAAAAAAAAAAAAAAGCACTATAGAGCACAATTTTATTAATCACATTTTTATAAAACATTTATTTCCATTATATATTATATATATATTTGATATATTTTGTGAATTTTGATTCACCATCACATCACTTATTTATCTCAAAATTGTATTTTAAATAGGGCTGTCAAACGATTAATCACGATTAATCGCATCCAAAATAAAAGTTTGTGTTTACATAATATATGTGGGTGCACTGTGTATAATTATTTTTTATATATACAAATACACACACATGCATCTATATTTAAGGAAAAAATATTACTTATACATAACATATTTATATTTATATATAATATAAGTTATATATATATATCTATATACAGCATGTACATGAAAATATTTCTTAAATATATACAAGCATGTGTGTGTATTAATATATAAAATAATTATACACAGTGCACCCACATATATTATGTAAACACAAACTTTTATTTTGGATGCGATTAATCGTTTGACAGCACTAATTTTAAAATGAAACAGTGAAGAGGATGTGGCATCATTTGAAAAATTGTTTTGTACTTGACAAGATTTGTTCAGTATAAAATATCATTAAATGAACACACAACTTTATTTTTCATCTGCTGTTTTTCTATTCCTAAAAGTTACATGTTTGACTCGTGAACAATGATCAGACGATTAACAAATGACACATGGCAGGATCACATGACAATCAGGGAATCACACGACAGGTTACAAGGAACAAGAGTCAAAACCCACAACGTGACAATAACCTTGATAAACGTAAGGTATTTTGTTTTGAAATGTTTCACCTGTATCAAGTTCATCGTTTATTGTAAGGTAGAACAAGTCTTGAAGAAATAGACTTGGATATTTCTACAAAACAGAAAGTCTCTCCAGAGCTAAAGCTATCTGTTAGCTGTTGATTTAAAGGACAACTCCGGCGCAAAATGAACCTTTGGTCTAATTACACATTGTTACCTAGTAAACCGTTATCTGAGATTTGTTTTCATGATTGCCGAATGTAAATAGTTTTATCTCTAAAAACAGTTTAGCCTATAACGCTAGTATAATGCTAGTATATAGGGCATAGAGTAATGACAAATAAAAATCGCTTGTTATTTATGGAGTTTCCTTTGTGTCTTTTTTATTCAATCAAACATACTGCGTTTGAGAGTAAAGCTAATTATTTTGTAATAAAATAAAATAAAAGAGTGCAAAAAAGTCTTCTAAAGGCTCAAAAATAAAGAAGTTGATAACAAAATTATTTGCAGTGCGTGTACTCTATTGAAAACTTTTTTTTATTTTTTGTGTACTTCAAAAACTTTTCATCAAAACCCCACACATGTTGCTCTCCTTTCTGCTGTATTTTTTGCGGGTGTAAATATTTTGTTTGCGAGTTGAAAAGTTTTGCTTGCGAGTTGAAAAGTTTTGCTTGCGAGTTGAAAAGTTTTGCTTGCGCGTGTTCACCGTACCGCAGTGGGCGGTCTCTAACAACCATATGAAAGGCCTTTTTCTATTGGTCACCCTCGATTGAAGTGACAGGTTGGCCACGCCCACTACAGTTTCCCACCGCCGCTGCTGCTGCCATCATCATCGTTCGTCGCCAGTCTGTCTGAGGGAAAAGCGAGCGATCTTCTAGAATGGCGAGCAACAGGTCGTTTACTGGGTAAGTAAGACAATTTAATATCATAGTGACAACTGACAAGTGAACTGAATGGTTCTCTCTTCTTATGCTGTCCCATTTTAATAACGTTACGTTGCGTCGGATAGACCAGTCAGTCTGTAGTTAGTGTTACCGATGACTAGATTGTATTAGCCAACACCAAATAGTACCGTGCCGTGTGATTGATTGATGTCCAGTGTTGCTATCTGAGGAGACATACATAATCACATTGGATTTTCTCAGCGTGACGTTAAAGGCCACTATTTTCGATGTCTGTACAGTTAGTTTCTGGAGTAAATACTTAGCTACACGACTTAGTTTGGCCAATGGTTTTTAGACCTTATAATTATAAGATTCCTTCGGTGCACCAGCCCCTTAAAGTCATAGGCACGTTAGTATTTTCACCCAAAAAATAGTTTAAAGTCAGTTATTCATCGGTTATGTTGCTGTAGTGTGTCAGAATTGCGTCACCTTGGAGATGTTGCCACAGCTCTTCTGGATTTAGTCTGTCTCAGTTTTTTCTGTTTCTTCATGTAATCCCAGAAAAAAATCAATGATGGCGAAATCAGATTACCTGTATAGCGGCTGTTGTCAGACTCATTGTGCATAAACACATCTCACTGGATTATTACAATTAATGGCTAAATGCATGTTTGTAAATGTAACACTGATATTTCCTTCTGACACATTACAGCAACATTTTGATTTAGTCAAAAGCTCAGTAATACAGTTAAATAGACATGCTTCTGAATATTATATATTTGTTACATCAGCTAATTTTGTTTTTAAATGTTATTTCTCTTTGCAGGACCACGCAATGGCAGATTTTGCATAGGTCTGTGGATAGAATTGGTTCAATTGTTAATAGGCATCCCATTGACTTTGATTATCTCCACTTTGTTTGCTGTCAGGAGTTACAGTTCGAGCTGGAGCATCATATGAAGAGTTCAGATGCAAAAGCCTCTAAATGCCATTTGAAATTTTCTTCTTTATTGATGATTTTTATCAAACTTGTATATTTAAGTTCAGTAATTTCACTTAAATAACAATTAATAGGTAATTATCATTGCCATATAAGTGAAATTACTCAACTTAAATATACAAGTTGGATAAAAATCATCATTTAAGAAGAAAATTTCAAATGGCATTTAGAGGCTTTTGCATCTGAACTCTTCATATATAGACATACCCAAGGGTGTGGTGGATGCTCTAGAACAGTTAAATGTAGTTATCTCCAATTACCTTTCACAGAGTACAGTCCCTCCATTGTTGGACAATGTAGCTGTGGCTGAATGGAGTGGAAGTGTGGGTCGTCCCAGATTAAACATACGAAGAGAAACACTCCAAAATTTGCTCAGCTTGCACTTACCTCTGGCCTCTTTGGCTGAAGTGCATGGCATTTCAAGATCAACCTTATACAGGCGAATGAAAGAGGAAAATCTGTCTGTCAGGAGCAACTATTCTGATATTTCTGATCATGAGCTTGATCAGAAAGTTAGATCTATAAAGGCAAGAACACCTCATGCTGGATACAGGCTGGTGAAAGGGTCTCTACAAGCAATGGGACATCGTGTTACATGGAAAAGAGTTAAGATGTCTTTGCAACGTGTAGATGGTGCAGGGGTAATTTCAAGGATGGTCCAGCTGTCATGCGTTGCAAGACGTACATACTCTGTTCCTGCTCCTTTGTCTCTTGTCCATATAGATACTAATCACAAGCTGATAAGTTAATTTTTAATACATTTAATATTTATTTTTTTTTTTTTATTAAATATTAATCATAGCTTTATGTTTGTCTTGTGTTATTTGTGATGTTGATGTTATCACTAAATCAATGAGATTTGACAGTAAAAATAAAATAAAATAAATCTCATTACACATACCATTCAAAAGTTTGGGATCTGTAGAAGATGTTTTATATTTTAAAGGGCACCTATTATGGAATTTAAAATGTTCGTAATATTGTTCTGGGAGTCCCCAACAACAGCTTTACATGCATGCAATGACAAAAAACACTTTTGTTATCTTATAATATGCATTTATTTTTACCTGATTTGCTCACCAACTCACAAATGATTCGTTCAACGACTAATTTTTCTGAACCACTCCTTTGTGTGATGCTAATCTGCGGTGATTGGTCAGATGACACAGTCAGTTGTGTTTGTAAAGCAAACACAGCAGTTCGGCCTATACTTGTGTGGTATAGTTGTAAATATAAACTCTAGCCACTGATTCTTCACATGCTTGTCCCTGAAAAAAAGTGAAAAAAAAGTTTGCTTTTGATTTACACTTCAGAACACAGCGTCTTGTTGTCAACATGAGGTTTTCAAGTTTCACTGGTGTCTGCGCGGCGCGTGCAGTGTGGGTGTATCTTATTCAAATAACTTGTCGAGGTGACGTCATATAGCTAGAGAAAAAGCTTTGTTCGTCTATCGATTCATATTAGCGACTCGGTGTCGACTCTTGCTTTTGAGAGACAATAACTTTGTATACGGTGAACTTTCATATTTAAAACTTTGCAGGATGTTTTTGTTCACTTAGATCTATGTTACACACTACATGCAAGGTCATTTTCAAAATTCCATAATAGGTGCCCTTTAAAAAAAAAAAAAAATCTTGGTTTATCAAGGCTGCATTTATTTGATCCAAAATACAGTAGAAACAGTATTATTATATTATTACAATGTAAATGTAAAGTGTAATTTATTCCTTGTGATTGTAAAGCTGAATTTTCAGCATCATGACATTACTCCAGTCTTCAGTGTCACATGATCCTTCAGAAATCAGTATAATATGATGATTTGATGCTCAAGAAAAAATCTTATCATTATTAATGTTGAAAACAGTTAGGTACAATTTTGTTTCAGTATTAATTTAAAATAAAATATTTTCCAACATTACACACTAGACACTACTGTTTAAAAGAAATTAATACTTTTATTCAGCAAGGATGCATTACAAGCTCATCCTGCAACGGCACGACGTACAGCAAGTTCTTCCCACCATTAGAAGCACTTTTGATCACTGATCCTGTATACCCCTCTGCCTCCAATGGTATTACAGATATTCTTCTCCTTCCATTCCCACCTATATGAGGGTAATACAACAACTGAAAAAGAGAATAACTCTACGGTATAATTCATTAATGTTTTCTGTACTGAATGGACTAATTTATATTACTGAATTTTAACACCAAATGATGATAAAAGCAGACCTGCAGCTTTGAAAAGAAGCCATCTGTCTTCCAAATCGTTCATTCTTTGAGTACGCTTCCCGCAGCAAACTTGATAACTATGTTATGGTTAAAGAAAAACCTTAAAACACTGACACAACAAATAATGCTATTCAGAATATGCATTTGCTTAGGATCGGGCTCCTCACCTCTGCATGTGTTGTATCCGATGTCAAGGACAGGGTCCTCTTTCCTAGCCCTGCTTGCATAAGCTCCAGCTCTTCAGATATAGACGGGGTTGTATCAGATTTAGAGCCCAGCAAAGACACAGAACAATCAAACGTTTTTCTGCGCTTTTGCTGGTACTGTTGGCCTTTTGACTTCTGGCAAGATGTCTTTTATTTTTGCCAGCATTTTTAAAAAATCCAGGAAAAGATCTGCAAAATTATAGAACAGGTACATTTATTAATGTGTGTTTTTTGGTGTTTATTTTGAGTAGCAAGAAATACTATTTTTAGCTGCTGCACCCTATGCCGAACTTTTATCACTATAAAAAAAAAAAAATGAATGTTTGAGTATTCTGTGTAACACCTGAATGGGTCCTTTTAAAATATGCTTGCTATCTACCTAGTCATTTCATGTTCCACAGTAGGTCTTACTGACTGCTGGATCTGGCTCTGAGTCTGACCCTGTCTTGCATTTTCCTCAGGGATAACTCTGGCCACCAAGGACATAAAATGTTGTGCTGCTTCGGTTACAGCACGTTGGTTATACTGGGGAAAAAAGGTTTAGGTGCAAATCACTAGTATTGTAATACTGACCAAAACAAACTGCCAACTGATTAATTTGTAGAAATAAGCTAATAGCTTACCTGCGGTTGTGACCTGCCTGGTTGGCTTTCAATTCTGCCAATAAGACAAAGAAAATAACTCAAATTTAATGTAAAACATACAATAACTATACATGCAATACACTGAAAATCAAAAATACAATCCATGTGGCTAGATCAATATACACACATGATCACACACACATATCAGTACATGCATACAGTACTGTGCAAATGTTTTAGGCACTTGAGTATTTTCACCCTCAAAAATAGAAATATCAGTGTTACATTTACAAACATGCATTTAGCCATTAATTGTAATAATCCAGTGAGATGTGTTTATGCACAATGAGTCTGACAACAGCCGCTATACAGGTAATCTGATTTCGCCATCATTGATTTTTTTCTGGGATTACATGAAGAAACAGAAAAAACTGAGACAGACTAAATCCAGAAGAGCTGTGGCAACATCTCCAAGGTGACGCAATTCTGACACACTACAGCAACATAACCGATGAATAACTGACTTTAAACTATTTTTTGGGTGAAAATACTAACGTGCCTATGACTTTAAGGGGCTGGTGCACCGAAGGAATCTTATAATTATAAGGTCTAAAAACCATTGGCCAAACTAAGTCGTGTAGCTAAGTATTTACTCCAGAAACTAACTGTACAGACATCGAAAATAGTGGCCTTTAACGTCACGCTGAGAAAATCCAATGTGATTATGTATGTCTCCTCAGATAGCAACACTGGACATCAATCAATCACACGGCACGGTACTATTTGGTGTTGGCTAATACAATCTAGTCATCGGTAACACTAACTACAGACTGACTGGTCTATCCGACGCAACGTAACGTTATTAAAATGGGACAGCATAAGAAGAGAGAACCATTCAGTTCACTTGTCAGTTGTCACTATGATATTAAATTGTCTTACTTACCCAGTAAACGACCTGTTGCTCGCCATTCTAGAAGATCGCTCGCTTTTCCCTCAGACAGACTGGCGACGAACGATGATGATGGCAGCAGCAGCGGCGGTGGGAAACTGTAGTGGGCGTGGCCAACCTGTCACTTCAATCGAGGGTGACCAATAGAAAAAGGCCTTTCATATGGTTGTTAGAGACCGCCCACTGCGGTACGGCGAACACGCGCAAGCAAAACTTTTCAACTCGCAAGCAAAACTTTTCAACTCGCAAACAAAATATTTACACCCGCAAAAAATACAGCAGAAAGGAGAGCAACATGTGTGGGGTTTTGATGAAAAGTTTTTGAAGTACACAAAAAATAAAAAAAAGTTTTCAATAGAGTACACGCACTGCAAATAATTTTGTTATCAACTTCTTTATTTTTGAGCCTTTAGAAGACTTTTTTGCACTCTTTTATTTTATTTTATTACAAAATAATTAGCTTTACTCTCAAACGCAGTATGTTTGATTGAATAAAAAAGACACAAAGGAAACTCCATAGTTATTACCACTAACAAGGCTCAAAATAGCCCCACACCAACGCAACAGCATAACAAGGGTCCCTACATTCAAACCGAAGCATTGAGAACTTTGTTAGTGTCCAAACAGTTTAATAAGAAGATATTTTATACACACAGTCAACTTCGCGAATACAGGAAGAAGCCATCTTGGAAAAATAGTCTCGAGCAGTCGATCTACGAACGCCGATCCAAGTGCGGTGGTGAGATGTGAATAAGGTGATAATGTGAGCGCGAACAGTAGGCTACGTGTACATATTGAAGACAAATAAACGGTTTGTGTTGTGTTTTCTTCTGGAAACAACGGACCATATGAGATTCTGCACAGTTCAGCGCACTTGATCGGCGCTCGTAGATAGACTGGTCGAGACTATTTTCAAAGATGGCTTCTTCCTGTATTCGCGAAGTTGACTGTGTGTATAAAATATCTTCTTATTAAACTGTTTGGACACTAACAAAGTTCTCAATGCTTCGGTTTGAATGTAGGGACCCTTGTTATGCTGTTGCGTTGGTGTGGGGCTATTTTGAGCCTTGTTGGTGGTAATAACAAGCGATTTTTATTTGTCATTACTCTATGCCCTATATACTAGCATTATACTAGCGTTATAGGCTAAACTGTTTTTAGAAATAAAACTATTTACATTCGGCAATCATGAAAACAAATCTCGGATAACGGTTGACTAGGTAGCAATGTGTAATTAGACCAAAGGTTCATTTTGCGCCGGAGTTGTCCTTTAAGTGTTAGTGGATTATTAGGCCCCGGCTGGCACTCAACGAGCTCTTTAAATCTGGAGAAGTCCCACTGTTCAGAGACCTGTCAGTACATTCTCATCACGCTAGCGGCTTTGCGTATCAAAGAAGAAACTCTCCATGTGAGGCGAGTTAGATGTCCTCAATAAGCTAATGCTGATGATCACAGAACTGGGATTAAGCCACCGAAGAGCTGATGGGAAGGTGGATGCAGGACAGGGTGAAACTGCTGCTAAACCCTGACTGATGATGAGGAGAAGAGCAGGAGCATACGAGGGAGGATACCCACCATCAAACAAGACGGTAGGCTATGTTTCATTTACATATGTTTATTTAAACAATAAATGTTAGGAACAAATGTCTTAGTAAAAGAGGAAGTTTTGATATGACATATAATTTTTTTTTTTATAAAATAACTATTATTTATTAAATTTAAAGAAATATATTTTTTTGACTTTCCTTTTGACTTTTGTCTTTTATTTCCATTAAATTTGTTTGTTTGTTAAAGAAATATTTTTTTCTTTTCTTTTTCTTTTTCATTTATATATGTAAAGAAATTGTTATTTTTCCTTTCCTTTTGTCATTTCTTTGTTTGTTAGTTTAATTAGTAATTATTTAAATTTAAAATATTTCAATAAAATATTTCAATTCTGCCTTATCATTCATTTATTTATATTTCATCAATAATTATTTAAATTTAAAGAAATATTTATTTCTTTCCCTTTTCGCCCGTATTTAAAGAAATACTTATTTTCCTTTTTATTTTTGACTATTTATTTATATTTAATCAATAATTATTTACATTTAAAGAAATATTTTATTTTCATTGTTTAAAATTATTTATTTATTTGTTTAAAGATACTGTTTTTCCTTTTATTTATTTATTTATTTATGTAACAAAATATTTATTTTTCCTTTTTCTTTTCTTTGTTTAAATGCATTTGTTTATTTGTTTGTTTAAAGACGCACTTATTTTTTCCTTTTTCTTTCTGACTGTTTATTAATTTAATTATTTATTTTTAAAAAATGAATAGCCAGTATTCTGTCATTTTAAGAGCTCCTCTGCTCTGGATTATTGTTTCATAACCCAGGGTTGAAAAGGCATTATTAATGTGGAAAGTCTACAGATTACGTCAGAAACCAAAAGTAGTCAGATCATGCTAAAAGCCAGCATTTCTGTTTTGAATGCCACTTACTGTAGCAGAGAAGTCTACATATAAATGCTAATGCACAAACAGATTATAATTTGATGATGAATGAGATAAATGTGGCTGGTGGAAATGAATTAAATGAATTGTTATGAATGCAAAGTCATGAAGTCATTGCTTTACTCCTATTTTGCGGATTTAATGCATGTGTCATTTAATGTTTTTTTGGCATTTGTTTCCTTTCACAGCCGAAACCTGCCATGATAATGAAACCTGAGCGCATAATGGACCATTGAAAGAGCCAATCTGTATGGTAATTCCTCTTCACGCACACCTTCGGACAGCCATTTCCCTGCTCACTTGTGAAATCTGTTAAGTGAAGTTAATAGCCGATATCAGACAGCATCTTCTTTAATTCCCCGAGAGGAATGCATTGCAGCCAGCGACTGAACATGTGTGTATACACACACACTCTTTCAGTTCCAGCTTCAGTGTGTCAAATCAGACTTTTTCAGTGAAGATGGCCTATTATACTTTTATATTTTAGTTTTCAAATTACATTACATTTACTTTTAGTTAGTTACTTTCAGAAATGGTTTTGATTTTTGCATCTATTTTGTATTTTGTTTTTTATGTAGGCCTATATTTTTATTGCAGATTTCATTCTGTCATTAATAATTAAAGGGATATTTCATCCATACATGCAAATCATAGATCCATGTATCCCAAATGTTTTAGCAAGTCCTTCTGGAAACCCAGTATACTGAAAAAAAATGATATGATTAATAAGTTATAACAACATATGTTTTTACATCGCTTTCACTCGTAAAGCAATTTTCAAGATTCAACTCATTTTAATCAAGTCATTGAGTTGAATGACTTAAACATCCAAGTTGATTGTACTTCAAATTTTAAAGCAGCAACTTTTAGTGTGTAAAGTGAGTATTATTTGCTGGTCACATGATCTCAACAGCGCGCACCTTTAAACACAATATAATCTTCTTCATTTCTCTGTTTAAAGCTACACTGTGTAACTCTTTTAGTTTATTCTTAGCTAAAAACACTTAGTTCTTTCAAAAATATATGTGCTCATTAATGTATATTTACTTCGTTCAAGTAATAAAGTATTCTCGTGAGTGTATAATATGCCATTGAAAATACATATGGGTAAGGGGTCGACATGTTGCCCCTCCATCTTGAAAGTACATTAGCCAAAGAGGGACATAAGCTTGGCCTTTCGCGTTTACGTTTGAGTTAACACTCATGGACGAGGTCGAACTGGAAGCCGTGTTAATCTTGGACTACATTGGCCACCGTAGGAGTTAAAACGAAATCGGAATTGAGAGGAACAGAAACTAATATTCACTGGATGGTCATATACCTTTTCACCACTAGATGGGGGTAAAAATCACACAGTGTAGCTTTAAACCCTCAGTCTGCTGAGCTTTGATTGCATTATTGTAATTATTGATATTACAAATAAGAAATGTTCAAATTATCAGTCTTTTTTTAGTCACAGATGAAAAAAAATGTGATTTTTTTTTTTCACTATTTTGGACTTTTCCATTCTCACTGACATGAGTTTCCATCCGTTAAATTCTCCATTCCTCATCTTTGTATTCTCCTTTGCCCCGTAAAGACAGCAGAAGACGCCTCAGCAGAGAGATTAGCATTTCTTTGATGGATGGCCTGTGTTCTTCTGTGCTCCAGCCTCGGGCGCTCACATTAGGACGGAGTGTGAGTTGATGAACTGTGGATGAATATGAATATGAATATGCATGCGCAGTCAGGATGCCAAGCGTTGACGAGAGCAGATATTCCTCTTGAAGGTGAGATGTGTAAAGACACCTGATTTACAATATGCTGTTTGACACTGGAATTAGTTTTTAATGCAAATTAGTTTGAATGATAAACTCTTAACTACAAAGTGCCTTACACAACTAAATCAGCAGTAAATATATCAGCTGACATTTATGATACTCCATAATAGGATTTGCATTAATTAGAATCAACAATGATAATATTAACAGACCATGGCATTTCTCTTTCAAAACATGCAAAAATGATTTGGGCTTGAATTTACAGTCAATATTCTTATTCTTTGTGACAAGAACAATATTTAGTATTTCTTTTTGTAAAATGATTACTTTTTTAAGTCAAAACTGACCATGTCAATGTAAGTATAAACAATCAGATATCATATGATAAAATATCTGTTTGAACCATGTGATCAAAAAAGTCCACTGAAATATGATTTTAGAAAGATTTCAAACCAGGGAGAAAAATTCTGCAAAACCCCAAACAGTCTATATACAGTTCAAACTAATCCACATATTCAGTCATTTGTCAAATAATTGATTTAAATAAGTATGTAATTATGAAAGTTCTGTAAAAGCTTTTTTTTTTTAAATAATTGGATGATATTCGTTTAAAAAAATGTTTTTCTTTGTAATATCTGCATTGTAAACTAACCTTAATTACAAGAAAACATCTGTCGTCAATTATTAACTCTCATGGCATTCCAAATCTGTATGACTTTCTTGAGTGTTCTGGGTGGTTGCTAGGGTGTTGCTTTGCAGTTGCTTGGGTGTTATGGGTGGTTGCTAGGGTGTTGCTTTGCAGTTGCTTGGGTGTTCTGGGTGGTTGCTAGGGTGTTGCTTGGGTGTTCTGGGTGGTTGCTAGGGTGTTGCTTTGCAGTTGCTTGGGTGTTACGGGTGGTTGCTAGGGTGTTGCTTTGCAGTTGCTTGGGTGTTCTGGGTGGTTGCTAGGGTGTTGCTTTGGAGTTGCTTGGGTGTTCTGGGTGGTTGCTAGGGTGTTGCTTTGCAGTTGCTTGGGTGTTATGGGTGGTTGCTAGGGTGTTGCTTTGCAGTTGCTTGGGTGTTCTGGGTGGTTGCTAGAGTGTTGCTTTGCAGTTACTTGGGTGTTATGGGTGGTTGCTAGGGTGTTGCTTTGCAGTTGCTTGGGTGTTCTGGGTGGTTGCTAGGGTGTTGCTTTGCAGTTGCTTGGGTGTTATGGGTGGTTGCTAGGGTGTTGCTTTGCAGTTGCTTGGGTGTTCTGGGTGGTTGCTAGGGTGTTGCTTTGCAGTTGCTTGGGTGTTCTGGGTGGTTGCTAGGGTGTTGCTTTGCAGTTGCTTGGGTGTTCTGGGTGGTTGCTAGGGTGTTGCTTTGCAGTTGTTTGGGTGTTCTGGGTGGTTGCTAGGGTGTTGCTTTGCAGTTGCTTGGGTGTTCTGGGATGTGGCTTATTATTTTTCTAAACTAGCTTTTTGTAAAGCAAACTACTTCACAAAACTTCAAACACTTGTTAGGATGTTGCTATGCAGTTTTCTATTTTTAGTAACTTTAGTGAAGCTAACTACTTCAACTGCTTTGCTAAGCAGTTGCTATGGTCCTCTGGATGGTTGCTAGGATGGTGCTATGCAGTTGCAATGTGGTTACTATGGTGTTCTCAGTGGTTGCTAGGGTGCCCTGGAATGTTGTTTGCTATTTAGTTTAGTAGCTTTGCAGTTGTTAGGGTGTCCTGGTATGTTGTTTGTTAGTGAAGCTTAATACTTCAACCAATCAAATCTGTAGCTTGCCAATCTACAAGCTGCTCATAATTTGAAGTGGTTTAAGACATAATTCCTCCGTGAGAGGCATTTCCCTCCCGTGAGGGGAGAAGATGATCTATGTGTCATTTCTGCATTTTCTCTATAGCACTTAAATCTCCATCTTTTTTTGTTTTTGACAGCACATAGGACGACTTTTCATTTCCATATGCCGACGACATAAATCTTTCTCTCACTGGAATCAGGGGAAACACATTTGTGTAGCCTATGTAACACCAGCAATGTTGTCAATGCCATTCTGCACTAGAAAGAGTTATTTCTGCATCTTGTTTTTGTTTCGCCTCGGGAATAATTCGGAAGCACAATAGAAAAAGAAGCTTCGTGGAGCGTCTGGAAACATTTATTGGATTTTCAGCGATAAAGATCTCGCTCTCAGATTCGTCTCCAGAACTGAGCGAGGACTAAGAGAAAGGCCATCACTGACAGATGAGAGTGAGTGATGGTGACAGATGACAGAATCCCTCAGATTCAGTCATGACATTAAACATGTGTGAGGAAAGGTCAAAGGTCAACTCACCCTTCTTGTTTGGCTTAGGTAACCAGATGTGATGTGTTTGTGTAGCTGTTCTGATTTGGAACTAACCAGGAACTGTTTTTTGAGGATTTTGTGATGGTATTATTCATAAACAGTGGAATATCTAACAATAGGAGTGGAAAGCTTGTGCCGTTTCTGTCTGTGTGAGATCTTTCCAGACGGATCTAAACCGCTTAAGCAGCACTAAATCATTTATGAAGGTGAAACTTTTACTTTGTAGGATACAAAAGTAATTTTTGCTTCTCTTTGCACATGCAAAGATTCAAAAGAGACAGATTGAGCCATAAGGTCAGGAGAACTAATTATTATGATGTTATTAGTGCAAAACGTAATGCAGGTGGACCTCATGGAGAAATATTGAATGTTTTTCCATCAAAGTTTTGATCATAGATAATTTAGAGGCTTTGGAAATTCGCATATCAAATACTGTAGGTTTTATTGAGTTAATCATGCATGCACAAAGCATGACCGGGTTGATGGTGCACATGAGGAAGAGACCCCTTTCACTACTAAACAATGATATTGTGCATTTGTACAGTTATAGTACGAAGACACAGTTATCGTTCTTGGTGTGAACAGGTCCTTCACTACGAGAGATTGTTTATAGCCTGAACCCCTGCACTTAAACCCTAATTCAATTAAATACATATTTATTCAACAGGGGAACTGTGTTCGTTTAAAATTGCTCCTTCACTATCAAAAAATCCCACAGACTTGCACTGAAGGAGGATCCTATGCCATGCAGTATCAAGAGATCAGCAGATCACAGAGACATGTCATTATGTGATGTCTTTTGAGAGTACAGTAATTGTCCTGTGTTCCCAGAATGCTCTGCTTTCTCATTGTCATCACTGGTCCTGATGAAGTGTGGCGTTCTGCTGAGAATGCATGAGGTTTGAATGATGGGGCTCTCGTGCCTCGGGCCGCTGAACACAAACAAGAGACGCACATAAACAAACTCAAGCAGACTTTTTATTTCAGGCCACCAGAGAAGAGAAGAGAAGCCCTTGTGTTTTTCGCATCCAGCATCAGTCGAGTTAGTGTGATGTTGCTTTGTGTGACATTCACTTTTATTGTTTTATACCCTTTTGCTGAACAAGCACGATGCTCAGGTCTCTTTTCATATTTCTGTTGTGTTTCTTTCACTTTATGCTTGTACATCATGCAGTTTTTTTTGAGAGGAATTTTTAGTGTTGTTTTGTTGTAGACATTTTCATGCACTTGGCAATTTTGTGCTATTTGCGTTTTCATAATGTGTTTCGTAGTGGAAAAAACACACTTATTGCACTCTATCTTGTAGATTTCAGTTATAATGCATATCTTTACAGGCTGTTTCCTTGGGTCACGCTTTAGTTTAGGGTCCAATTCTCACTCTATGACTTTTGCCTCAATAAACCCCTAATTACTATTATTAGCCTAATATTATTAAGGTAGTTGTTAAGTTTACGTATTGGGTGGAATGAGGTCATTCAGAATAAGGCATTAGTAATACTAATAATCAGTCGATATTTTAGAAATGTACATTGATATTATACAACATTTCATTCATTTCACAGAGGAAAAAAATATGTTTGTATTTACAGTAATTTTTGATTAATGGAGTGCACTGAAAAAATGAATATGCTTAATCTAATCCAAAAAAAAAATGTGGCAACAGATTATAAGCAAAATTATTAATTCAATTTAACAAATTAGAATTGAGTAATAATTAATCAAATTAATTAAAAGTAAACCATTTCAAATGAGTAAAACTATAACAAGTTTAAGTCACCATTATGGTGATCAGTGTTTGTTTTAACATTACGTTTTTCTCGTTCAGTGATTCTGCGTGTTAACATCAGGTGTCTTCAATGTTGGCGATATACAATAAAGAGTTCTTAATTAATCTTAGACGTCTGTCTGTTAGTGAGACATTTTTGTTAATTTTTTTTGGTGTAAACTTTACTCATTTTAAGGAATAATGTGATTAATTATTACTCAATTCCAATTTGTTAAATTTAATTAATAATATTGCTTGTAATCTGTTGCCACAATTCTATTGATTAGATAAAGCATATTCATTTTGTACAGTGTGATAAAAAAAATCCTGTAAAAACCTAATATGCGGACAAGATTTTTAAATTTGGCTTCAGCCAATGTTTACATTTCTATTCTGGAAAATTTTGCACATTAGGGCATATTTAATTAGACAATGCCACATTTTCCCAACAGGTTGAGGGTTAATGTGGGTTTTATTAAGTATTTCCAGGTTCAGAATTGTATTTTGACTAACTTAAGGGGATTTGGTATCTCCCCATATTGAATCACTATTGGCCAGATTAAGTTTGTCACGAGATGGGTTTATAATATACTTTGTGGCACTAAATGGGGATCTGATTTGGGCAATGCTTAAAACAGAAACTAAGAATGAATTATGCAACCCCATTTGTGTTTAAGCCTCTATTTCCGCTTGGGAAAGGCAGGTTGAAACTGTTTATTACACCTGAGGTTAGACATAAATTGAATCCAGGTCTGTGTGGTTTGTGCATCAAGGGACATTTTGTCATTGCCTGTGAAGTTGTCCTCTTATAAAGCAGTTCTGGGACTTTTAATTTTTAAGAGCCCACTTGTGCTTAGAGAGAGGACTTATTAGGTACCCCCAGACTTACAGAATAAAGACCTTCTTCATATTTTGGTTTATTCTGCTCAGA